TTCTTCCAAGGAGCCTCTGGGTGGATTCAAATCACCACCCTCTCAGTTAGTAGCTGAGCACTTAACTGTTTGCGCCATCCAGGGACTCCATGATGTTCTATAGACTGTCTAAAAGTTGCAGATGCTGAAAACAGCAAATGTGAAGAAACCTATTTCTCAATCTAGTTTTCTAATTCAATTATTTATAAATAATTCTGTAACTGCAATTAATATGAAATTAATTTTGAGTTATTAACAGTTTAACAGCTAAAAAAAAATGGAAAGGTTACAACTCTACATCCATATTAGAAACCAGGTATATAAATGTATTTTTTTCAATGTGCTACAACTTGCAGGTTAACTAATTAATAAATAATTCATATTATGACCACCTCCTAAGAACACAGCATCACTTAAATACTATGTAGACCAGTGCTGCCCAAGAGAAATAGAATGCAACCCACAAAAGTCAATCATATATATAATTTTAAATTTTCTAGTAGCTACATCTTTAAGAAAAAGTAAAAAGAAACAAGTGACATTACAATACATTTTGCCCAATATATCCAAAACATTATTTCACAACACATGAGCAATGTAAAATATTTTGATATTTTACATTCTATTTTTCATACAAAGTCTTTAGAATCTGGTGCGTATTTAACACAGCACATCTCAATTCGGAAAAGCCACATTTCAAATGCTCAATCGCCATATGTGGCTAGTGGCTCCAGCACAGATCTAGACATTATTTTAAGACTGAAATGAACTGACAAGAGAAATATCTCATATAAAAGCAAAATTAAAAAGAAAACTACTAATATGTGAACAGAATGGTAAGGACAAGAATAAAGACGAATATGAGCTAGTAAGAGAAAAAATAAGGCAGTGAATCACTTAACTGAAATCATCATTCTGACATAAAAGCTCTTCTCAGAAAATATAACTGATTTCTAAAAAATCAAAGTCATTTCTCCCTTACAACCAGCATCCAAAACTTAATCATTAGGATCTGGTAATTCAAACTAGAGCAATACTGAATAGAATGCTAAAATGAAGATTATGCCTCAGCTGGAGATCGCAACCAATGTCACAAAACAATTTGTGTATAAATTTTTCAATGAGAAGCTAATTTGCACTGTAAACTTTCACCTAAAACACAGTAAAATTAAAAAAAAAAAAAAAAAAAAGTCTGCCTTAGAAGCACAAAGCAGCAGAAACACCTCTACCTGTAAATGAACTATAAAAACTAAAAATTTTTAAATGCCAGAATAAGGAAAACTGGGATTCAGATACCCTTGGAGAGCACAAGGCCAGGTGAAAGAAAGGTAAACCAGAAATGCACAGAATAAAGAGACTCTTAAAAAAGGAGACTGGTACTTCAAAGATAGTGGTCACATCAAGACAAACAAAGATATAATCTAGGTGAACTGTCTTTGATAAAATTTCTTCCCAAAATAAAAATGTGAGAGAAACACTGTATTTTAACCGCAAGTCTGAAAACATAAGAGAAGCTGAAATTTAATCCCAAGGTAAAACTTTTTTTTTCAATCAAATATAAAAAGAAGTCTTTAAAAGAAGAGTGAAGAAGCTACAGAAACACCAACAAAGGAGTGAATGTGAGAAAGACGACTTTAGAAAGCTGACGTGACACAAAGGCTTCAGATGCCATAAATAACTGTTCACCTCCACCATTTGTAACTACTAAACTGCTGCGATTCTCCTGGTATTGGCTTTCTCTACGCAGTCGCTGTTCTTTAGTGATCTCTGCTACTCGAAGAGGCAGATCTGAAAATTCATCTGTAGGCTTAAAAAATAGCAGAAACATTAAAAGAAATATTTCAAAAATTTAGACAAGCACTGAAGGTATGGGTATAATATAAGCTTATTAAATTTTATATTTAAGAAGAAACAGCAAGGTATACATGGCTATATAAATGTGCACACATGTATAAATTATCTGCATATATGTTATCTGTATGAATACAGCCACACTCACATACACAACCACCCAGACATATCTACAGAAGCCAATTACAAATTACACATGGGCTGTGGTCTAAAAGTGAATTTGCCTTGGCCTCCCAATGAAACAAGGAGAGATTATCAGTCTAGCTAACAAAAGCACATTTAACCATTTAACCCAATTTACAGCTAAAATATTATACCTTTGTAATTAAAAAAAACAAATAGAAATTAAACAAAGCAGAAAAATAATATAATTAGCTAAGAAAGTTATGTATTTATTTTGCACATGGATATTGTTCACTACAGTCCTATTTGTCTCCCCATCTTCTGCACCCCTTTTCTTACTTCTCAAGATTACCCAGACCCTCAAATTTCAGGCTTCAGTTGTAACTGGCTCGGCCCCTGTTTTGGCACTCTAAGACATGAGACTATTTATACAATACAATGAGGTAGCAAACATGTAAACATACACATGGTAATAAGATGCGTATGAAATATAATATCATTTTTGGATGGTAGAACTGTGGGATTTTTGCCACTCCTTTTGACTTTTCTGTATTTTACAGAATGAAAAATTGAATCCAATTAAGACAGTTTCCATTTTTAATGTTTTATTTTCTCTTAGTCAGGAGTTATGACATGCAGAGTAGGGGAAACACTTACTTCATTCCCTGACCATCGCTTATCACCACTGTCCACACTATTGAAACCTGAATCAAGGGCTCCATACGGGCGACCTGAGTACAGTTCTTCATGGCTGCCAAGAAATGACTTCAGGTGTTACTGCCAAGTTTGATATTTTAAAAATAAACATTTTAAATAAAACAGATGCAATTTCACTAATAAACATTTTCATGGCATTTAGCTATTTAGAACTGGACATTTGTTTAACTGCTTAATATGAAAATATCTGAATAAAAACAAAGTAAATAGAATAGTATAAGGAGCCCTCACGTACTCATTCAAAAATATCAACATTCTCTTATTCTTGTTTCATCTATGCCTATACCCGATCCCCATGCTCTCGTTCAATTACTTTTATTTTTACTAGCACATTTTTAAGGCAAACTTTACATGCACTGAAATGTACACATCTTAGTCGTATAATTTTGACGAATACATCCTTGTTACATACAGCTGTATCATGGCATAGGATGTTTCTACTTCAACAGAAAGTTCTGACAGATATCCTTTCCCAGTCAATCCCCCTCACTCCACCACTGTGCGCTCCATAGGAAGTTGAAAGTCTTCCCACCCCTCCAAAAGGCTTGATAATCATAATGAATTTCTTTTCTTAGATAACAAACCAAAAAAACCAAATCCACTGACTCATGGCAACCCTGTAGGACAGAGCAGAACTGCCCCATAGGGTTTCCAAGGCTGTAATCTTTACCAGAGCAGAATGCCACATCTTTCTCCTGTGGAGAGGCTAGTGTTCGAATTTCCGACCTTTTGGTTAGCAGCCAAGCACTTAATCACTGTGCCACCAGGGCTCCTCTCTTAGATACTGCAGTCTAATAATTCCCATTCCAGGGCTGTTGATTTTTCTATTATTATTTTCTGGTAAGTTATTAATCCTATACTGTAGGAGCCCTGGTGGCGCAGGGGTTAAAAAACGTGGCTGTTAACCAAAAGGTTGGCAGTTCGAACCCGCCAGCCACTCCACAAGAGAAAAGACCTGCCAATCTGCTCCCATAACGATTACAGCCTAGGAAACCCTATGAGGCAGTGCTACTCTGTCATATAGGGTCACCATGAATTGGAATTGACTCCACACAACAATAACACACTGTAGTTTCACAATTATATTATGTAACGTAAAGTATTTTATATTATGTTTGTCTTGTAAGATGGACTAAGTGCTTAAATATTTACTGTGCTGAAGGATAAAGCATTTTACACATAAAGACAAGGATGTGCTATTTGTAAAATGGGCGATATACTCTAATTTTTAAAAAGTCCCGTAAGTCAGTCCATCTTTTACAATGCTTGCTTGTTTCAGTCCTCTGTCTACATGATCAGTCTGCTTTCATGATTGTTTAGAATCTAGGCCTTAAGGCCTGGTACTGTGTGTGTTTCATCACTGCAAAATCAGGCCAAATTTTAAAAGCTTTCTAATGAGAAATGTAAACCGCATTAAAAATTTCTTTTTTGCAGTTTGCAAAAGAAATACATGTTTTTCATTATTCACTGAGTAAAACTTTAATACTGTTACTTTTTCAAGTAGATCAGATGTTCAGGTTTCTAGAGGGTAAACCAGTTGCCCTCAAGTCAGTTCTGACTCATGGTGACTCCATATGTGTCAGAGTAGAGCTGTGCGCCACAGGGTTTTCAATGGCTGATTTTCTTCCAAGGTGCCTCTGGGTGAACTCGAACCTCCAACCTTTCAGTTAGCAGTTGAACATGTTAACCATTTGTACCTCCCAGGGACTCTTTCTAGAGGATATTGTTTTATATAATTGTGGGACAAAGAACTAGATTTGACCTTTTGTATCTGGTTTCTGCAAATGGCCTGAGCATTTAACGTGCTCTTTGTCTTTCTAAAATAGCCAGGCAAGTGGGAGCCACACAGGGTCCATATCTGTGGAACTGACTTCAGCAGAGAGTGGACGTGATGCAGCCAGTCAAGCATATCACTGACTGGATACATCATAACTATACATTAAGGCACTATCATGCATATTCATTGAGTTCCAATGACTAGGGGACCCAGGACCTTGGAGATCTCTCTTTGGGGCCTTCTGGATGAGTGAGAACATCCACGCATGGAGAGTAAGCATCATGTCCCTGGGGACAATGGAGGCCCTGTGCTGGGACCTCTCCCAGACCTTGCCTTGTATCTTTTCTGGTTATAATAAATGGGTAACTGTAAGTACAGGTAACAGTCTCCATGAATTTTGTGAGCCACTATAGAGAATTAACAAACCCACGGGGGCAATGAGCCAGCAGGGGCTGGCAGTACACAGTTGGTCTGTGGAGACCCAGCTCTGGGTGGCTGAGTGATAAAGACTGCAGGGGCAGTCGATGAAGAAGGATTGAGTCCTTCTAGCTTGTGACGCAGTCCCAGGGGAAGAGAGAGAGGTCTGAAGCAAGAGACAGAGAGGTCAGCTGGTCTGAAGTGCAGGAAGTTATGTAGACTCCTAAGCCTCAGGATAGCCAGGGATGAGGTCTGATCTAACTCTGGTGATGGGAGTCAAAGAGGGGAATTGCCACAGAAGTGGCTGGCAATGAGGAGTGAGGCCTGGATTCACTTCCAGCTGGTAACTGGATTCACGCTGATCCTTGCTACGCAGTTAGTGATAAAGGTGGTGCCTGCCCACCTTGCCTCTCTCACAGTGCAGCTGCAGCCTCACAGTCCTCCCAATGTGTCTTCTATCAAGTGGCCAATTAAAATAGGCTGAACTTTAATGTGACATTTTTTAAGTGGGCAACATAAAGAGTAGAATGAATTGAATCTTTGCATTAGGCTATCATTTTCTTCTTTATTCAGTTATCTTCAGCTTTTTAACACACTCTCCCTGGCTCAGAGATTAAAGTGATCTTTATCACAAACATGATGACCAACTCTCTGGTTTGCTCAGGACTTTCCTGGGTTTAGCACTGAAAGCCCCACGCTCTGGGAAACCAGTCATCCTACACACAAATATGGCCTTCGGGAGGCCAGGGAGAGTTCTGCTAGGCTCCATTCTTGCCCTGTCAGAAAGTCTAGTCTCTAACAAACTACCCAGCATACTACAGATTCAAATGCCACGGGTGACTTCTCTGTAGTAGGAAGATGAACTGTCAATTAGTACTGTCAACCGAGGAATTTTAAATGCGTGCGTACACGCGCGTGTGTGTGTTTTGCCATCTAAAAGATCTGGACTCACAACTCAGCACCACCACTGGCTAGCTATGTGACTTTGATTACTGTGTTTTTCTCTTAACTTGTTTCGTCACTACAGATTACCACTGAAAAATATGTATGCTGTTGTATAAAATGAAAAGGTTATCACAACAGTGCAATTTGCAAAGGAGTTGGAAACATTACATCAAGAAATAAATAAAAAATTTGTAACCTTTATAAAATGATTTAAGGAAGTTTGTGTGTTGTTTCTATACTATACAAAAAATAATTAGAAGAGAAAGTTACATACTAAGGATTGAAAGTAGCATAGCATCTAATTTGTACTGAATACCTGAAGAGCTATAGGCTTAATAAACGTTCTCTTTAACAACACAGGGCTCTATCTAAATGGGTCCTGGATCACAGAAAACTGCTAATAACTATAATGTCTAATGTTATTATATATATGACTTTATGGTTAACAAAGTGCTTTCAGACATAGGTCATTTGATCCTCATAACTACTGAGGAAGATGAGGCTCAAAGAGGTTAAGTGACCTGTCCAATGGCACAGTGAGCTGGAGCTAGAACCAAGGTGTTCTGACTCCATGTGCACACCTTGAATTAATGCACTGCTAACTACAACACAATTCCACTAATCTGCACCTCTGTGACACATGAAAGTAATGGTATCTCACTTACTAGTGTATGAGGAGTTGAAGGCAGGAAATTTTACATATGCAACTAATAGAAGTAATTTCGAGGATGTTCTGAAACAATTGCAAATAAAGTAACATAGCTCTGGAAAATGGAAAATATAAAAGATTAATCTAATGAGTATATAGGGATTATTATAGGGACTGGAATGCATTAGATCAGTAATTAGTAATCTTTTTGGAGAGAGGAGCCCTGGTGGCCTAGTGGTTAAGAGCTCGGCTGCTAACCAAAAGGTCGGCAGTTCAAATCCACCAGCCACTCCTTAAAAACCCTATGGGGCAGTTCTACTCTGTCCTATATGGTTGCTGTAAGTTGGAATAAACTCAGTGGCAATGGGTTTCGTTTGGGGTTTTGGGGAGAAATGACACCTTTATGCTATTTAGACTTCCCACTTAGGAAAAGTTTCTCCACTGATTCAAGCCTTATTTTAACTCTTAGCAAAGACACATGTCTCTTGCCAGGTTTTTTTGATAGTGTGTTATGTTTTTAAAGTAATATGATAAGGGTTGCTATAATTGGGAAAAAAACAGGCTACTGCAGCACTTTTCACAATAGACCAAAGGTGGAAATACCTGAAATGCCCATCAACAGATGAATGGATAAACAAAATGTGGTATATTCATACAATGGAATGTTACTCAGTCATAAAGAGAAATAAAGTCCTGATACAAGCCAGGACACAGATGAACCTTGAAAATATTATGCTGAGCAAAATACATCAGCTGCAAAAGGACAAATACTATATGATCTCACTTATATGAAATAAGCAAACATACAGAAAGCAAAGAATACTAGTGGCCTCCAGGGTGGGAGGGAGGGGGTGTGATGGTTAATGTTACTTGTCAACTTGGCTAGGCTATGATTCTCAGTGGTTTGGCAGGTGCTCTTCCATAATGTGATCAGCTTCCATTTTGTGATCTGATGTCAACAGCCAATCGGTTGAAAGGGGAGTTTCCTTGGGGGTGTGGCCTGCCCCCAATATATAAATGGATGTTCTAGTAAAGCTCGATCTCTTTTCTCAGCCCTGCACTTGTCCCGTCACCTGACCTCCTATTCTTGGGAGGTAAGCCAGCAGAGGCCTCCAGCCTCTGAAAGCATACCTTCACACACGCACACACGCAGTCACACCGCAAAGGCAGGCATACCTTCACACGCACACACGCAGTCACACCGCAAAGGCAGGCATACCTTCACACGCACACACGCAGTCACACCTTCACACGCACACACACGCAGTCACACCTTCACATGCAGACACGCAGTCACACCTTCACATGCACACACACGCAGTCACACCTTCACACGCACACACGCAGTCACACCTTCACACGCACACACGCAGTCACACCTTCACACGCACACACACGCAGTCACACCTTCACACGCACACACACAGTCACACCTTCACACGCACACACGCAGTCACACCTTCACACGCACACACGCAGTCACACCTTCACACGCACACACGCAGTCACACCTTCACACGCACACACGCAGTCACACCGCAAAGGCAGCAGCAGCAGTTTAATGTTTCTACTTTGCTTTTTTGGGAGAGAAAAACTTTTCCTTAGCAAGGACTGTTAACTCTAAGTAGATATAATAAATTAGAGTACACACAAAATCAAAGAGCTACTTCTATTTGCTGTACATCTTTTAAGAGTACAGGACTGGAACACTTTTAATGAAAATTTAAAATAGAAAAATCAAAACTTTCTTCAATAAATAAGAAACAAGAGGTCTATACTATAAGCTATTGAGGTAGGAGGAAAAAAAGAAAATGGTGAAAAACAAAGGGAGACAATGAATGGAGAAGGTAGAAATTTTCTGGCAATAGTGTTCTGGGTCTCCTCATACTCTCTCCGCCGCTAAAATCCTCTAAGAGTGTCCTTGATGTAGCACAGAATATGTCAGACCTAATCCCCACCATCTTTCAACACTGTAGATTTTATGTCCTCCTTACCATCACATATCTGCTTTCAGTCCTCTCAGAGTTAAAAATGTTAGAACTGAGGATATTGTTCATAGAAACATTTTGTAGGTATGTATGATTTTGGCTGTCTCCTTGTGTATCTGTATAAATATACCAACAACGACATTATTCTATTCTTAAGCTACCAGATCAGAGCTGGTGTTTCTAATACTCTTCTCATAGCGTCTATGCAAATCTTCAGTCTAATAACAAAACCAAAATAACTAGAATGTCATTACAAGATTGTTTCTGATGGCTTTAAGCAGAGGAAAGCTAGGGGAAAATAACGTCCGTGTGACCAAATCATCTGTTCGTTCACTCCGTAAATATATGTTGACCATCTACTGTCTGTGCCAAACACTAAACAGAGGTAGGGATACAATGGTGAAGCCAACAGGCATGGTCTGTGGTCTCATGCAGAATACAGTCTTATATGGCAGAAACCAATTCTGACTACAGAGCATTACTTTATTTAAGAAGCCCCGGTGGTACAACAGTTAAGCACTCGCTGCTAACCAAAAAGTTGGTGGTTCAAACCCACCCAGTAGCTCCACAGGAGAAAGACCTGACAATCTGTTCCTGTAAAGATTACAGCCTAGAAAACCCTATGGGGCAGTTCTACTCTGTCACATGGGGTCTCTGTGAGTCAGAATCGACTTGCCGACATGTAACAACAACAACGTTCGTTACTTTATTTACCTGACAAATCGTGTTCTGTATAAGCGAAATTTTCAGATAGCTTAGATTACCCCTTTATACCATAAAACACTTACATATTTGACTTTAATCATTTCTGATGAAAAAATTTAAGCTATAATACATATTTTACTTTTCTGGAAGTGATATATAATTAATATAACCTAGCATTTTCTTAATGGACATCAATTATTGTATTATGCTTTGTTAATACAGTGATATCTTAAAATACTACTGAAACATGCAGGGTTTTTTTTGCATATATACCTAATGATGTCCAACTGCAATGTTTTTAGAGCTTTACTACTTCTACGTATCTTATTAAAATTATAAAAGAGCCCTGGTGACACAGTGGTTAAAGCGCTCAGCTGCTAATTGAAAGGTTGGCCGTTTGAACCTACCACCTGCTCCATGGGAGAAAGATGTGGCAGTGGACTTCCGTAAAGATTACAGCCTTAGAAACCCAATGGGGCAGTTTTACTCTTCCTATGCAGTCACTATGAGTCAGAATCAACTCGATGGCAGTACTTTTTTTTTTTTTTTTTAAGTAAAATTATGGAATATATCATGTAGATATAAAAGAATACCACTAGTAGACATGTTTTAAAAAAATGATGGGACGTTATCAATAGCTCTGAAGCCCCCTTGTCCCCCCTTTTACACTGAATTTTTCTCCCTTCCTTTCAGAGTTAACCACTAACTTGAATTTTTGTTTAGTATGCATCTGCTTTTTAGAATTTTCTTTTTTTCCTTTAAACCACTTTTTGTGTTTGTTCCATTTAGAAACTCTACCACAATGGAAATATATTAATCTGTTTTAGATCAGGACACTGAGAAGCAGGACAATTAGGATCATGCCCTTAAGCAAGACTTGACAGTCTTCTTATGGGGTCACCATGAGTTGGAATCGACTCAATGGGAATGGATCAGTGGATCAAGAAAAGGTCTGAGGAGTTCTCTTTTGAGTAAAATCCATGAGCATTACTGTACCTTCACTGCAGCATCTATTTTGCCTATTTAAAGGTCTTTTGGATTTAATTCCTGTTATTTATGATTGTTCCAGATGACTGGGATTTGCCAAGTAGATGGCCTTATATATCAGGGGTTATAATGTAACTGAAGGATTCACAGATTCAAATATCCTGAAGTGACATTAATGATTATCAAATTTAATCTCTTCACTTCTTGACAAAAATGAAGCCCAAAAAGTTTGAATGACTTGCCTTAAGTCACAAAGCTAGTTAGTAGCAGAGCTAAGGTTAGTATTCAAATCAGTCAGACCACTGATTTTCAACTGGGGGTGACTGGGCCCTCCAGGGGACATTTAGCAATGTGTGGAAGCATTTTTACTTGTTATACTGGGAGGGTACTACTGCTATCTAGTGGGTAGAAGCTAGGGATGCTGTTAAATATAACATACCAGGCAGCTTCTCACAACAAAGAGTTGTCTGGTCCAAAATGCCAATAGTGCCAAAGTTGAGAAACCCTGCCTTAGAACTACACTTTATCAGATCAATGTAATCAATTTTACACTTAATACAAGCATTCTGAGAATAAGAGCGTTAAAATAGATTGCTTCCCTTAGCCGAACATTCAGGCAGATTTCAGGATCTAATTTATTGGATTCCCTGCGAGATGGGATGTGACAGATAAAAGAATAGAACATACTCACCAGGAGCCAAAACCCAAGGGTCTCCTATCATAATCTGGCAGATCTGGAGCAATCTTACAAGCTTGTATATTCAGGTATTTAAATATGTGGATTTTGCCTTTTATACAAATCTAAATAAAGTAACATATAAATGTAACCAAATTACTACTTATCTGAAATATGTTTCTTTTTATCATAATCAGCCTTTTACTTAATGTAAACTGAGAATAGAAGGTATTTTTATGAAGAACGTATAGTAAAATTAAAAAGCTAATATTCTTGCTATAACAAATTGGATTATTTTGTTCAGTGTTATTTCAGGTATTTTTAATGTCAATACACATTTTTTTTCTAGTCATTAATAGGTCTCAGTAACATATAAAATAAATAATTTATGATTACAACCAATATTAGAACACCAAGTAAACTTATCACATTGATTAGTTTTATATACTCAGGGACTCAAAGCTCTCCCATGGATTATACTGGCAATGTTTGCTTTTAGGAATCCAACTATCATGTACAATTATGTTTCCTATCCTTGCTTTTCGTAAGAGAAGAGCAGGAAATGATCAAATATTAAAATTATATGTATTTGGTTGGTACCTGTTGACTTCTTTTTTAGAAGTCAAAGCATAAATTCATTAGGATTATGAGATCCTTCTATATTTATGAAGTTTTACTCATAAAATTTATAGTTGCCATACAAATTACCATAGGCGTGTACAAGATCATCAATAAACTGCTGAGGAAAAAAAAAGCTATGGTGAAAAAATATGAGTTGGCCAAAACTCAACAGACTGTAGGATGTCTAGAACCCATAAGTAAAGCTACCTTATAATTATTTTATTAGTAAATAATTTAATTTCAGTGACTGATAAACAAATGACCAAACTGGCTAAATGAGGGGCTTATAATTTTAGAAAACAGAAAGGTACAAAAACAATGTTCATAAGAAACGCTTTAGTAATCCTCAGTTCTGAAATTTTTATTTGTCTCTAGCATTTATGTTGTCTACATTCAAGGTTTACAAAAAAGAAATTAACTCAAATTTTATTAGGAAAAACTTACAGAAGAATTCCTCATTAAAAAAATGCCAATTTAGTGAAAGGAAAAAGACCTCTAGAAACATCTTCTAACTTCCATCCCATTTATTTAAGACTTCTAAAGAATACATGTGTGTGAATTTATTTTTAAAGAATTTAATTTCCAACAGAATGATAAATACATGTAAAATAAAATTTAAATTTGATTCTCTAGTCAAAGACGTTTATAACATATTTCACACTCGACTATGGTTTACCTGTGCAGGAGGAGACTGTAGCGGATTGTTATCCAGGGTAATCATCTGTAGATGCCTGAGGTTCCGATAACAAACAGGAATTGTTGTAATTTTATTGCAGGAGAAGTCTAACCGCATCAAAGGCAGCTCTGCCAGCTCTGTATGGTGGTGAAATGAAAATGAACAATTAATATTTTAAAAATGGACAATCTTTACAGGATACTTCTAGCTAAATACAGGTATTGACCTCTACTCTCTCTTAAAAGTATAATTAAAATTAGAATAAAGGAATAAAAAAGACATAACCCTGCAAGGACCGAGAGGAGAGAGATCACCGAATATTTGGATGATAGAAAGAGGAAAAAAAAGTGATTAACAAATGAAGCAAAGTGGTGTAAAATGAAATCTAGTTGCCTACAGATGGGAATACTAATGAAAAGCAAGCTATCTGACCTCAATAGTATAGTAAGTCTTAGAAATTTGAGGTCCTGATACCACAAAAAGGGGGATAACAGAGGCATTAGATGAAAGTCTGTGTAAAGAACAGGTAGATGCCTAGGTCCCTAACCCCAATGCACACAGTAGGGCACCACCCCTCTCAATCCCCACAGGAACCAGTAAGTTATTCTTTAGTGAAATGTAATCAGAAAGGTCTGAACTCCGGGATGCCAGGCACAACGGAAAGACTAGTTGAGTTGCCAGTTGAAAACAGAGGATTTAAATGAAAGTCTATGCACTTAATGGTGAGACTTTAGCACTTCCCAACTCATTCTGCCCCATCCCCAGCTTCTAGAATGCCAGTACAGGAACACAAACAACAAGTGTAGAAGAAATGGAGCATCTTTCTCTGGAAAAACTATGCAGTTCCACATGAAAGCCATCAGATACTAAGACGGAGTTTCCCCCAAATTCCTAACTTGCTGCATAATTAGCATTATGTAATTCCTGCCCAGTATACTCAGAACTTCTAATCAGTCCTATACAGTACATGATTCACACACATTTAGAAAAGCCCCCAACAAGTAACACAGAAATCAAAACCAACCAACCAACAGAAAAAAGGGACTCAGAAGAAACAGATACCACACAGGAAACCAAACAATGTCTTTAAAAACTAGAGTTAATATCTCTTATCACGTAGACAAGTTATCTACCCAATTGTAACATGTTAGAGACCACCAATGAGTTAACACGAACTTCCTAATTAACTCATGTTTGTGTAGGTGTTGAAATAAGGCTTTTCCTGCCATCTCAGTTTAACTGAATATATTGAAATTAAAAAGTAAGCTGTTCTAAAACCATTTCAAACCATTTGTGTGACTCACAAATTTCTTGACAGAATGCAATCAAAACAAGATGCAGAAATAAATTAAGTGATAAAACGATTAGACTACAATTGACATCTAAAACCTCCAATTTTCATTTTCATCAAAACAACCCCAATGTTTTCATTAACTGATTTCATATTGAGTAAATACTGTTACATGAGTGAGCCTTTAAAGATCAAGCACAGTAGGTGAGTCCTCAGTAGGGGGTAATCCTAGATGGAAATTTTGGGTTAATAGATCCTGTGTCATGATTTTGGTCAGGTCAGCTGAGGGCCTTCATTTACATTCTTAAGGTTGTGAAAAGTAAAACCAGTAGGAAAAGAGGAAGGCCCTGAAGATAAAAGGTATGAAGGTTCCTTGACAAGCCTAGGGAAAGGAAAAATGATCAGGATTTTGGGTGGTTTGGCTATGGTGAGTGTATAAAGGTGGGCTGGAAAAGTCCCCCTCTGACATACTTAGGATCCAAAATGTCAAAGCTACAGCAGTATGGTAGAATGAGCATGTACCAGTATGGCAGAACATCCTGCATCAACTGCTGTAAACACTGGGATTGTGCAGTGAAAACCAAAGCACTATTAGTTAATTTGACATTTATTGTACATTAAAAGTCATGTTTTGTAGGAAAAAAAAAACAAAAACCTGTTACCGCTGAGTCGATTCCGACTCATAGTGACCCTACAGGACAGAGTAGAACTGCCCCACAGGGTTTCGAAGGAGCAGCTGGTGGATTCGAACTGCTGACCTTTTGGTTAGCAGCCAAGCTCTTAACCACTGCGCCACCAGGGCTCCTGTCTTGTACAAGAACCTAGAAAATTACTGTCATGAAAACACGTTCTGAAGAGTCCTTATTTATCTTTGAAGTATACATTCTAAAACGTTTACAGATGAATTTCTGGAATTTGCTTCAAATTACTAGAAGATAGGGTGGGGGAAAGTGGATGAAGGTACAGATGACACACAGAGGTTCTTTGCTCTCTATCTTTAAATAGGAAATTTTCCATAATAAAATTAAAGAAACATATTCTGAATACAATAAAATACTGGTTCTCCCCTTTTTCACTTCCTTTTACATCTTCTTCTTTCATAAATTCCATATTTTTGAGAGACTGATAAATTGTACTTAATTTGTTTAATAATTTTTACCATTCAAATACAAATAAATGAGTTTAAGTCAGCCTAAGACAGCCAGTCACCTAAAGTAGACACTCCCTCTACACATCACCTCCACACAGTTAATTAGCCTCTGTATGAATACTTACAATGAAGGATAAAGTTATTAAGTTCAGGTCAAAGTCCATTTTTAAGTCAGTGATAACTGTGGGAATATTTTTCACTGTATTAAATTATCCCTTTGTCAAAAACATGTTACATTTCCCCCAAATAGCTATGCTTCCTAAAATTTCCAGTAACCCTAACCTGAATTACAGATTACTTCAGTTGACAAGATTCAAAAATAAGACCTATACTTAAGAGTTTTTCACTGAAGAATCTAAATTAAAATCCAAACAAAACAGATAACACTATTAAACCATTACATCTCCAACGCTGTCTGTAACTCTTACACATTTTTGTCTGTGCCTATTAGTCTGAGAGATCTTTAAAATAAATTAAAAAAATAATTGTAAAACAATCATTTCACAGCTTCTTACCTTCAGGCAAGCGTACTAAGTGATTTCTTCTTACATTAAGATCTCTCAAGGCCTCCAGGTTACCAATTTGGGATGGTATTGTTTGAATCTCATTGCAGCTCACATCCTATTTCAAAAGGATAAAAGTAAAGAATTGTTCTAATACTACAAACTTGCCTGCTTAAACTATCTGTAAAATGAAGTTGGACAAGATAATCCCTAAGGTCCTTTCCAGTTACAAAAAAAAAAAAATTATGATTCTGTGTGCAAGAATAATTCTATAGTTTGTAGTTGCATTTGATTTTAAAACCTTGTAGGCCTTTGAGTGAGTCTGTACATTTTATATAGATATACATGAATTTCACCACTCATCTATCAGTTTGTAATACTGGGGTGGCTTGCGTATTGCTGTGATGCTGGAAGCTATGCCAACGGTATTTTAAATACCAACAGGGTCACCCATGATAGATAGGGTTCAGCGGAGCTTCCAGACTAAGACAGATTAGAAAGAAGGACCTGACTTCTAAAAACACTGGCCAGTGAAAACCTTATGAATAGCAGTGGAACATTCAAAATATGACTAGGATAAGAGCTGTCTCTTCAAAGTAGAGTTGATCTTCACGAACTGGATGGAGTAAAGCTTTTGTGACCTTCATTTGTTGACATGGCATGACTCAAAATGAGAACAAACAGCTGCAAACATCCATTAATAATCAGAACATGGAATGTGCAAAATATGAATCTAGGAAAGTTGGAAGTTGTCAAAAATGACAGAACATTTGAAGACAGCTATCCTAGGCATTAGTGAGCTGAAGCAGACTAGTATTGGTCATTTTGAATCAGACTATCGTATGGTCTACAATGCCGAAAATAACAAATTGAAGACGAACAGCATCGCATTCAGTGTCAAAAAGAACATTTCAAGATCTATTCTAAAATACAATACTGTCAGTGATAGGATAATATCCATACGCCTATAAAGAGACCAGTTAATATGACTATTATTCAAATTTATGCACCAACCACTAATGCCAAAGATGAAGAAACTGAAGATTTTTACCAACTTCTGCAGTCTGAAATTGATCAAGCATGCAATCGAGATGATGCCTTGATAATAACTGGTGATTAGAATGTGAAAGTCAGAAACAAAGAAGGATCAGTAGTTGGAAAATATGGCCTTGGTGATAGAAACAATGCCAGAGATCAAATGATAGAATTTTGCAAGACCAATGACTTCTTCACTGCAAATACTTTTTTTCAAAACATAAACAGTGACTGAACATGTAGACCTCACCAGATGGAATACACAGAAATTAAATCGACTACATCTGTGGAAAAAGACAAGGTAGAAGCTCAAAATCATGTCAGAACAAAGCCAGGGGCCGACTGCAGAAGAGGCTATCAATTGCTCACATGCAAGTTCAAGTTGAAGCTGAAGAAAATTTTAAAAAGTCCACAAGAGCCAAAGTACAACCTTTAGTATATTCCACCTGAATTTAGAGACCATCTCAAGAACAGATATGATGCACTGAACACTAATGACCAAACACTAGATGAGTTGTGGGATGACATCGTGGACATCACACATGAAGAAAGCAAAAGGTCATTAAAAAGACAGGAAAGAAAGAAAAGACCAAAATGGATGTCAGAAGAGACTCTGAAACTTGCTCTTAAATGCAGAGTACAGCTAAAGCAAGTGGAAGAAATGATGAAGTAAAAGCAATGAACAGATTTCAAAGGGTAGTTCAAGAAGTCAAAGTATTATAATGAAATACGCAAAAACCTGGAATTAGAAAACCAAAAGGGAAGAACACACTCAGCATTTCTTAAGCTGAAAGAACTGAAGGAAAAATTCGAGCCTTGAATTGCAATACTGAAGGATTCTATGGGCAAAATACTGAATGACACAGCAAGCATCAAAAGAAGATGAAAGGAATACACAGTCACTGTACCAAAAATAACTGGTCAATGCTCAATCATTTCAGGAGGCAGCATATGATCAAGAACGGATGGTACTGAAGGAAGAAGTCCAAGCTGCACTGACGGCATTAGCAAAAAACAAGACTCTAGGAATTGACGGAACACCAATTGAGATGTTTCAACAAACGGATGCAACACTGGAAGCGCTCACTTGTTTATGCCAAGAAATTTGGAAGACAGCTACCTGGCCAACTGACTGGAAAAGATCCATATGTGTGCCAATTCCAAAGAAAGGTGATCCAACAGAATGCAGGAATTATCGAACAATATCATTAGTATCACACACAAGTAAAATTTTGCTGAAGATAATTAAAAAACGGTTGCAGCAGCACATTGACAGGGAACTGCCAGAAATTCAAGCCAGATTCAGAAGAAGACATTGAATGAGGGACATCATTGCTGATGTCGGATGGATCTTGGCTGAAAGCAGAGAATACCAGAAAGATGTTTACCTGTGTTTTATTGACTATGCAAAGACATTCGACTGTGTGGATCATAACCAGTTATGGATAACATTGCAAAGAAGGGGAATTCCAGAACACTTAATTGTGCTCATATGGAACCAAGTGGCAGTCGTTCAAACAGAACAAGGGGATACTATGTGGTTTAAAATCAGGAAAGGTATGCGTCAGGGTTGTATCCTTTCACCATACTTATTCAGTCTGTATGCTGAGCAAACAATGCGAGAAGTTGGACTATATAAAGAACACGGCAACAGGACTGGAGGAAGACTTACTAACAACCTGCGATATGCAGACAACACAACCTTGCTTGCTGAAAGTGAAGAGGACCTGAAGCACTTACTGAGGAAGGTCAGAGACTAAGCCTTCAGTATGGATTACACCTCAACATAAAGAAAACAAAAATCTTCACAACTGGACCAATAAGCAACATCATGATAAACAGAAAATACTGAAGTTGTCAAGGATTTCATATTACTTGGATCCACAATCAACATCCATGGAAGCAGCAGTCAAGAAATCAAGTGACTACTGCATTTGGCAAATCAAATCTGCTTCAAAAGACATCTTTAAAGTGTTAACAAGCAAAGATGTCACCTTGAGGGCTAAGGTGCGCCTGACCCAAGCCATGGTGTTTTCAATTGCCTCATATGCATGTGAAAGCCGGACGATAAATAAGGAAGACTGGAAAAGAACTAATGCCTTTGAACTACAGTGTTGGCGAAGAATACTGCATATACCATCCACTGCCAGAAGAATGACCAAATCTGTCTTGGAAGAAGGACAGTCAGAATGCTCCTCAGGATGCCTCTGTAGAAGCGAGGATGGCAAGACTTTGTCTCACATACTCTGGACATACTATCAGGTGGGACCAGTCCTGGGAGGAGGATATCATGCTTGGTAAAGCAGGGGGTCAGCAAAAAAGAGAAAGACCCTCAACAAGATGGACTGACACAGTGGCTGCAACAATGCGCTCAAACATGGCAACAATTGTGAGGGCGGTGCAGGACGGGGCAGTGTTTCATTCTGTCATACACAGGGTTGCTATAAATTGGAAGTGACTCGACAGCACCTAGCAACAACAACATACGTGAATTTTATGAGCAGAACTAGAATGACTTAAGATGTAGACAGCAAGTCTAGAAAATCAGATGGAATAAAAATGGGGAAAAAGTGCAAAACAGGTCTAGGACAATATTTTTACTTATATTGTTCTAATGAAACTAGATGAAAAAACAAAATAAAGACAAAAATTATAATGATAAAATTATTTGAAAAGAAACCTCATTTTTAAAATACCAATTCAACTGTTCAAGATATAAAATAAAAATGTCTTGAAGATGACTCAAATTATTCTTTATCAAACTGAATGTGAGGGAAAAAATAATGAAGTACATATAACTCAAAGGCTATGAAAAAAACAGATACTGCTAGATCAGCATCTGATCAACTCGACTCCAGTACATATACTAGATAGGACTTCTGGTATCTTGGAGCCCTGGTGGCACAGTGTTTAAGAGCTACGGTTGCTAACCAAAAGGTAAGTAGTTCAAATCCAAAAGCAGCTCCTGGGAAACCCTATGGGGCGGTTCTACTCTGTCCTATAGGGTCGCTATGAGTCAGAATTGACTTGACAGCAACGGGTTTGGTTTTTGGTTATATCTGATATCTTGGTTAACAGCTAGATTCCAATGGTTCTAACGAGAGACTTTGGCTATCTGGAGGTTCTAAGACTGATACATTCAGAAGTTTATAATTCTGAGATCAGCCAGAATAATCTGTAAAGCCATAATCATGTGTAGCACAGGGAAGATGACCAGGCAGTTCCCCACTCCACAGTAAGAGTCACGTTAATACTTAAAACTCCTTCCCTATATAAGTAAAAAGAAAATATTAACAGTCAGTTTTCAGAAGAGACAACTTACCAAAAACATCAACAGGCTTTAGACATTATTTTAAAATATTTATACAATATTCTTAAAGAAAATAGTACTAGTTTTATTTTTCCTACCAATTAATGGCTGAAGTAAAATTGGTAGCTAGACTTCTTAGTCCAATGCTCTAGCCATCAAAGTCAAAAGTGTTGTAAAAGAAGTTGAAAGGATAGGAAAATTGAGTGTAAGACAAAAGGTAATAACAATTTATAATACTTACTTGAGAAAATATATATGTTGCAAGACAGCAGTTTACTTTCACTTAAAAACAAAAGAGATAAAAGGAAAGAGGCAATAAGGATGTTGCAGAAAGACCATAAGGTAGGAGTCAGGAGTTTCTGTTGCTGCTGTTGTTAGGTGCTATCAAGTTGGTTCCAACTCATAGCGACCCCATATACAACAGAAGAAAACACTGCCCAGTCCTATGCCATCCTCACAATTGTTGCTATGTTTGAGCCCACTGTTGCAGCCACTGTGTCAATCCATCTCAAGTGTCTTCCTCTTTTTCGCCGACCCTCTACCTTACCAAGCATGATGTCCTTCTCCAGGGACTGGTCCCTGGTAATATGTCCAAAGTACATGAGGTGAAGTCCCGCCATCCACGCTTCCGAAGAGCACTCTGGCTGTACTTCTTCCAAGACAGACTTGTTCATTCTTCTGCAGAGAGTTTTAGAGTTCCTGATTCTTACTCTGCCACAAGTTCCTTATATGACTTCTTCTTGTTAGTTGCCGTTCAGTCGATTTTGGCTCATAGAATTGCCCCATAGGGTTTTCTAAGCTGTAATCTTTTTTCCGAGAGCAGATTGCCAGGTCTTTTTCCCGCGGAACCGCTGAGTGGGTTCAAATCACCAACCTTTAACCTTTCAGTTAGTAGTGTACAGCTTAACTGTTGTACCTTTTGTATGACTAAGGGCATCAATTAACCTCTTTTGTGAAAGTTAAAAGTCGCTTCTGTAAGACATATCTGTCTTTCAAGTATTTAGAATTTAATAAGCAGAAAGAGAATGATTAAATAGTTAGAAAATAAGAACTTGAATTGGGAGTAAAATTTACCACCAGTTCATGTTATTAAGCCAAATTCTGAAGAATGCCGACAAAAATACATTTGGGCTTCATTTCCTATGTCTAACTCGTTCTAAAAACAGTGGTTAGAATCTAGACCAGATTTAGTGTATCTGTGAAGTTTTACACGTGACCTCTTTTATATTAAGAATCCATCAGAAAAAAAAGTGAACTAATTTGTGGTCCTACTAGATTATATGTATATTTATTCTTTCTGTTTATTATATCCATTTTTGTTAATAAACCTAAGTGGAACTATATTCTAAATCTCAATGGACATAATTATACTTGACCATTTCAGAAACACAAGCAACACAGTTAACTGTATTAAAAACACAGGTTTTGGAGTTAAGGTAGACTGGTTTTAAATTCTAGTTCAGTTATATAATGTCGGGCAAATTACTTATCTTAGCACTAACGTTCTCAGCTGTAAAACGAAGATGTACTCAACTCATGTCATCATGAGGATTAAATGAGAAAAGTCTTATTCCCATGCCCAGAACATAAGTAACAAGAGGTGGTTTCTTATAATTTACAAGGAGTGGTAAGTAAAGGAGTTCAATTAAGCTTCTTAGAAAATACATGTCAATAAAGTATAGCTTACTTTAAAGTGGCATATAGGTTCTAAAGACAGCGCATAAGATAAAAACATAAACCCGACCTTTGAAGTGCCCACTGCTCCTACAGGGGCTAAAAACATTGATGATATTAATGATCACATTAACAGAATTTAACTTGAAAAATTCAAACACATTATTAACTTATATCTCAAAAGTTTAAGAATGTAGAAGTGCTTAACATTGTTTAGAACACAATTCTAATGCCTTTTTCCATTCCATGTTGGCCTATTAGACTTTTATTTTCAGTTCTTTCTTAATTCTGTGTTGAAGCAGTTGGGTTCTGAGAAGTCAATAACAATGCATTACCAATACTGAAAAATAACTAAAAATTATCTTATTAATGGATATTTACCATAGAAAAGAGTATGGTATGACTGTGGACACACAGATGTGTGTTAGACAATTAAAAAATAAAATATTAACTTACAAGTTCTGTCAAATGTCTAAGATGTCCAATTTCTTCTGGAAGTGAGACCAATTTGTTATTACTAGCAATTAAGACTTTCAGTGGTAAACTGCACAAATGTACTGGCAATGTTGACAGCTGGTTCCGACTACATTGACAAAAAGAAAAAGAGAAAAGAGTCAGAGCCCAGTACTGAAGAAAAATTCTCCAACTTTCCCATTCTGAACTCAATAAAATAACAAATATCAGTCCTGAGAGGAATAAACAGTATATAAAATTTGAGTTCTAGTCTTCATTTCATTGCTTGTCAGCTTTGTGGGTTTAGGTACAGCATTTAACTTTATCTGCATCTTACAGAGATTCTTCATCTGTAAAATGAGGATCTTAATACCTCCCCTGCCTATCTTGCAGGGTTGTTACACCAAAAAAACTGTTCTGTAAATAATGAAGTGTTATATAAACACAATATATTATTATTTTATTAAAGTAAAATTTATATAAAAAGAAACTATGAAAAGGGTAGACAATTATCATCTTTTCTTCTTCATTCCAATTAACAGTTAAAAAATAGTTTGTAATCTATATATGATATATATACCAAACCCACCACCGTTGAGTTGATTCCGACTCATAGAGACCCTCTAAGACAGTGCAGAATTGCCCAATAGAGTTTCCAAGGAGCGCCTGGTGGATTCGAACTGCCACCTTTTTTGGTTAGCAGACGAGGCTATTAACCACTACACCACCAGGGTTTCCTGATATATATCATTTATGTATACAACCAAATATATATAAATGATCCAAATAGAGTTCTATGGAAAACAAGTGACAGGTTGTGATTTCAAATATACTATACCAACTGAGTTATAGGTAAGGAATCTTTTTTATTTATACAAAAACATTATGCAAATTAGAACCAAAAGTAAAAAACATATTATGATAAAAATAAATTAAAATTTTGCTTACGTATATTTAACCTCTTATTTTTTCCCCCTATTTCAAGATCTTTTGCTTATTCAACTTATATAAACCATAAGCATTTAAAACTTTTTAATCCAGTAATTCTACTCCTAAAAAGTTATCTAAGAAAACAAAACTAGAGTACTGATACATTGTGGGGATTGCAATCAATGTCACAAAATGATTTGTGTATAAATTTTTAAATGAGAAACTAATTTGTGCTGTAAACTTTCTCCTAAAACACAATAAAATTTTAAAAACAAGCGTAAAGTAGATAAAGGATCATTCTTAGAAAAGAAGCTGAAGGAAAAAAAGGCTCCAATTAAATAAATAAATAAACATTTACAAGAAAAGATGCTTACTAGTACTTTTATGATGGTGAAAAACTGGGAGAAAGTGAATAGTCAATGATAGAAAAATGGGGCTTTAAAAGTATATCAGCTTACAATAAAATAATTACATATAAAAGTATTTCCAAAGAATATTTCATGACAAGGGGAAAAACTCATTTAAAAATCTGACTAAAACCTGGAAAATCAGAAGGAAAAGATCACTGATAATTACATGACTCAGACATAACATTTTGATGAATTTCCTTTATACTTTTTTCTACTATTTGTGCAATTCCTCCAACAGAACATTTATAATTTTTATAATGACAGAAAACAACAAGAGTTCTTTTAAGATGTGAAAAATGGAGTAGATGAGTTGAATAATGCATTTATACATCTAGAACTTAATACACAAAAATTCATGGTCATGAGAACCAAACGAAGTTTTCATTAATGTATGTAAATAAGAGACATGTAATTCCAGATCTACCATTCTCATTTGGTGAAACTGTTTTGAAAATGTAATTGGAGAACCACTGCCACAAGACTGCTGCCAGCCCATTAGGCTAATGGCTAGCAGGGTTTGTTAATTATTGCAAAGGCAAGACAAAGGGAGAAGCTAGAAGGACAGAGGAAACACTGTTAATATAGCCTAGGAACTTGTATACATATAGACATGGCTGATATGAACAGATAATGTATATTTTAATGAAGGAGATGAAAGAATTGAAAAGACCATATAAAACTAGAAATTTTTAAGAAAAAACATCCTTACCTGATATTTAAGAATGTTAGAGCCTGTAGGTTTAGAATTGCCTCTGGGATATATCGAATACAATTTTGGTACAAATTGAGATTCTCAAGAGAAACAAAGTGACAGGCTTCTATAGGAATTTCTGAGAGACGATTCCGTGACAGGTCTGAAAGAAAAACTTAAGTTAAAAATCAGTCCTTGAACTTATTTTATTGAGATGTTAAACAAACAAGCAGGTCTCATGATTCTTTAAATTCCCCAGAGTTCCTACTGTGGAGACTGGTTGAGTAAGCATTCAAATGTTTATTAATTGACCGAGTAAACCATTTTACAATATGTCTCCAACCTGTTGCTAGGAAATGCTGATTCCTTATGACTCTCCACACATACTATAGAATAAAACCACTATTCTTTGCAAGAAACACAAGTTCTAAGGCATACCTGCCTATATATTACCTCTAAGATCATATTACTAACGAAACAAATACATCCGTAAAATTCACCCTGCTAATTCAGAACTGAAGCCACTCCCAAAGTCCACCTTTCAGCCAATAACACACGTGAGTTCAATCAAGTATACGAGACCAAATGTGCAACACTTGCCCACGCAAAAGCAAAGACAAGAAGGCAGGAAGGTACAGGAAAACCGGACAAATGGACACAGAGCACCCACGGTGGGCAGGGAAATGGCGAGAGTACTGACACAATGCAGGGATTACAACCAATGTCCCAAAACAATTTGGGTATAAATTTTTGAATGGGAAACTAATTTGTGCTGGTAACTTTCACCTAAAGCACAATAAAAAATTTTTAAAAATTGTGATAAAAGAGGGAAAAAACAACCCATATTCTTCAGCTCAAAAAAAAAAAAAATGGATATGTGTTATTCTTAAAACTCTGTTCTTGGTTATAAAAGCAATGCATGTTAACATCATACACATACACACAGAAGACTGCATATGACATACATGCATTCAAAGAAATAAAGCACCGTCAGTACCCCAGAAGCCCCAGTGTGGCTCTTCCTAACCATAACCCTCTTCCCTCGCCAAGATGTAACCAATGCACTGATTTTTGCGATAATCATTTATTTGAGAGTTTCATAGTTTTAACATTTTATAATTTGTAGTTTTGCCTCCTGTATTAGTTTCCTATTGCTGCTTAACAAGTTACCACAAACTCAGGGCTTAAAATGACACAAACTTCTATTTTACAGTTCCGGAGGTCAGAAGTAGGAAATGGGTCTCAAGGTATCCATAGGGCTGTGTTCCTTCTGGAGGTTGCAGGGGAAGAATCTGTTTCTTTGCCTTTCCCAGCTTCTAGAGGCCGCCCACGTTCCTTGACTCACAGATTCATTCCTCCATCTTTAGGCCAGCAATGTCAGGTTGGAGTTTTTCGTGCTGCCACCTCTTTGGTTCACCCTCTTCTACTTTCTCTTGCAATATTAACGATCCTTAGAATTACAACTCTCCGCCTTGCCCCCCACCCCAATAATCCAGGATAATCTTTCTATCTTAAAGTCAACTGATTAACCAAACCAAACCAAACCCATTGCCACTGAGTCGATTCTGACTCATAGTGACCCTACAGGACAGAGTAGAACTGCCCCATAGGGTTTCCAAGAAGTGCCTGGTGGATTCAAACTGCTGACCTTTTGGTTACCAGCCATAGCTCTTAACCACTATACCACCAGGGTTTCCGTTAGCAACGTCAATTTCCCTTCACCATATAACCTAACATCTTCACAAATTACAGGGATTAGAATGTAGACATCTTTAGGGGGGAACCATTATTCTGCCTACCATAACTCTGAACTTCCTAAAGTAGAAACATACTGTTTATGTGCTCTTTTGTGACTTTCACTCAACATTTGAGATTCACTCATGCAGCTGCATACTGCAGTAGTTCCTTCATTTTCATTGTTTTTATAGTATTCTACTGTATGATTATGGCACAATTTATTTACCCATTCTACTACCAATGAATACTTGGATTATACATTGATCTAGATATGTATCTATTAGTGAAAATGGTGGGTGATATTATGTATCTTCAACTTTACAAGGGAATGCTAAATTGTTTTCCAAAGTAGTTATAACAATTTACACAACCACCAGCAGTGTACAAAGAATTCATGTGGCTTCACATTCTTGCCAACACTTAATATGAGATGTTTTAATTTTTGTACAATGGCATCTCACTGTGGTTTTAAATTTCATTTCCCTGATTATTAATGAGGTAGGATAGCTTTTCATATGTTTACTGGCCACCTAGATTTACTTTCTTGTGAAGTGCCTGCTCAAGTCTTTTGGTTTGTAGGAAGTCTTTACTAATTCTGAATGTGAGTCCTTTGTAAGGTTTATGTATTGCAAATATGTTCTCCCACTCTGTGGTCTGAATTTTCACTTTGTTTATGGTGTCTTCTGATAAACAGAAGTTTTTAATTTTAATAGAGTAAAATTTTTATTAGTCTTTTCTTTCACGGTTAGTGATTTTTTGAAATTAAAAGAAATCCTTCCCCATCTCAAGGTCATAAATATATTTTCTTCTAAAAGTTTTTGTTTACCCATCACATTTAATCCACCCAGAATTGATTTTTTAGTACAATGTGAGGTAGGAGGCTGATTTCTTTTTTTCCATAGGGATACCCAATTGTCCCAGTGACAGTTACTGAAAAGACCATCATGTTCTTTCAGAGAGGAAAAAATTTCTTAGCTATGGAGGACTAACTTTACATAATAATGACATTAAAATGCTATATATTTGCAAATATGTTCCTTTTCCAATATTTCCTATCTCAGGATAGGATGCTTTTGTCTACCCAGTTACTTAAATCAGAACTCTGTAATCATCCCTGACACCTTTCTCATTTCCCCAATCTAATCCTTCAGCAAACACTATCAGGTGGATATGCATTAGAATGATTACTCTAGATTTACACAGCAAATATTTATATGTCTCTACTATGTTATAGGAGCCTTGGTGGCGCTACCGCTGCTAACCAAAAGGTCAGCAGTTCAAATCCCCCAGCCGCAACCTGGAAACCCTATGAGGCAATTCTACTCTGACCTACATATTTTGAATCCATTCATTTTTCTTCACCTCCCCTTGTCATTGTCATCAGCTGCCATCGAGTCGGTCACCGACTCATGGTGACCCCATGCACAAAAGAATCAGACTCATTACTTCTTAGGATTATGCTAAGAATCATATCAAAAATGCATGGGAAACTACTTTGTTTACTGTAAAATGCAAACACTAAACAATTCTATCACTTATTTTTCTTATTCAGAGGCAATCATAACGCCAGCTATAAAAGGTTAACAGCAAGAGAACAAAACCAAACATATAGCAACATCCCCCAAATTACAGGGTACTGTACTATGCAATAAAATACAGCAGTACAATACAATAATTTATAATCATGATCTTTGGTCACCAAAAGGAAGTGATATTATGTTCAGTATGCTCTGCTTTGAAAAGGCAAGAAAATGTAAAAAAACATTTACTTAAAATCATCTAAAATAGTTTTCTTATCCTTCAGTGATGTTAAATAAATTGAGAAGTTACTATATCTTTGTGTCACTAGAGTAACCCCCTTTTGGTTTCACACAGACAGATAATACTAGTATTGTCACACAAGCCTCCTAGGTTCTCATATCTATTTCAGTGTAATCAATCTTATCTTGTTTTCCAGACTGTAAACTCAATTTCGATTTGCCAAGTACTGTAAAAAGCTACAAACCGGATCATAAACAATTTTGCAAATTAAGCTATTAAGTTACTTTTATGTATCACATCATTAATGAGACCTTGGTCTTTCATCAGCCATTATCTTTTTCTTCTAATTCTAGCGATATAAACCAAGGACTATACCAACTGTTGGCATAGCCCTTGGAGGTATTATTTAGTTGACCAAAGCAGAAAAATCCTATCAGCCTTGGCCTGATAAAAACATGAGAGAAAATTTTTTGGCAAAAGGAAATACCATGGAAGTTTCAATTAACTAAGAGAAATATTTCAAAGGAAAAGTTTTAAGACATCTTTTTGCAATCAAACTCCCGATTACTTTCCTTATTTATAAAAATCTTACCCTCAAAGTTACACTAATCTCAGAATGTAAAAAAGGTCCAAGTAAGTTTTTAAATAATACGTTAAAGAAAAGAGACTAAAAGTAGTAAAAATTCTTCAACACTAGTGGGGGGGTGGCTATGCATTAGAATGATTACTCTAGATTTACACAGCAAATATTTATATGTCTCTACTATGTTATAGGAGCCTTGGTGGCGCTACCGCTGCTAACCAAAAGGTCAGCAGTTCAAATCCACCAGCCGCAACCTGGAAACACTATGAGGCAATTCTACTCTGACCTACAGGGTCTCTATGAATCGGAATCGACTTGATGGCAATGGGTTTGGTTTTGGTTTGGACTATGTTATATGAGTAGGAGCTATGTCTGTTTTGTTCCTGGCACTTAAAACAGAGAACATAGTAAGTGCTCATAAAATTGTTAAGTGCCATCGAGTCAACTCCCACTCATAGTGACTCTACTTAAGTACAACAGAACGAAACATTGCCCAATCCTGCACCATGATCATAACATAGTTGTTCAAAAACTGAGGAAATGAATGGATGAAACAAAAACTGTGGACTCAGAAGTAAGTAAGACACTGTGTGCTCCATCTATATAGAGCTCTATGTATAGTAGACAACTACATAGTTAACATACTAAAAAAAAAAAGTCAAGATAATTTTACCTTTACGATTTTGTTTGAAGAAATACTCTATAACCTGGATTGAAAATAATTTATTTCCAAACAAGTAAGTGTTTAGATAAAATAAATCAAATCCAAGTACTGAGGAAGAAAACATATATTATGTGTATCAAACGATAAATATTTTATGATTTTTTTTTTTTTTAAAAAGGCTGAGATGGGTTACAACCATTAATTTTTTTTAATTGTACTTCAGGTGAAGGCTTACAAAAAAAAGTGTTTGAGAAATATATATAAAATAATGACCTTGGACCTTTTTTACTTTCTGAAGTATAAAATGCTTTTTAATATATGACATACTCCTCCCTATTTAAAAAAATACACACATACACATTTACTTATTTATCTATTATCTACATAACTAACGGATTTTCATGTCAATCAATGGGTT